CACGACTTTTGACGTGCTAGCGACGCCCATCGCGAACCCAGTCTCGTCAAAGTTGTAGATATCCTGGTCTAGCACGCCGTACGTCTGGCGGATCTCCTCTACTAGCTTAAACCACGCTGCGATTATAGCAGGATCTTCGTACTGGGCGCGCTGGCTATTAAGCCTTCTACTCTACTTCGTCTGAAGCTCTGGCTGGCTCTGGATAAAGCGCGATACCCATTTCTTGCCTATGGGTGTAGAAGGTGGATCTTGGCCACGCGCGGCGAGCAACGCGTCTGCCATCCGTCGTACGTCAATAATATGGGGTGGAAAACCACGCCTATCTAGGTCTAGGATCCACTGTACGAGAGACTGCTCTTCAGTAGGTGATAGCTTTCTTTTTTTGGCATTGGCAAGAGCTTGAGGCTGGCTACCTTGAAGGCGGTCGTAAAGTGTTGAACGAGGGATATTAAATAGCCTTGCAGCTTTACGTTGGCTTTTTATTTGCTGTTTTTGAATTGATTGTGATGCAAGAGAAATTCTACCTTGCCTTTGAGGCGATAAAGAGCGCTGTTGTCGCGGCATTGTGATGGTTGTGTGGAGCGTTGGGTTAGGTTTGGTGGGGTGGCCGGATGACTGATCTGGCCGGATGACTGATCCTTGACGTTACAGCACCGGCGATAGACGAGATCGCCTCGTACTTGGGCGCACCCACACCCGTACACCCGTACACCCGTACACTCCGTACACCCGACCCTTGGCCACAGGAAATTCTGCCCCGCCGACTGGCCCCGACGGCTTCCTCACAGCGATCCGTGAGCAGGGCAGCAAACGGCGAAGACATGTGATGGGCAGGCAGTCTGGCGCAGTACAAGCCCGCACAGCAAATCACAAGTGCCATGGGCCGCCGGGCCACGAATCGACACTGCGTCTGCGTCTGCGTCTAATCGCCGCCGCCGCCGCCCGCACGCGACGAAAGTCAAAGTCCAAGTCCAAGTGGAAGCATCTCTCGGAGATTTAGCACAAACGCCCCTACGCCTCGACACACGCGCTCTGACCTTCACCACGCTCCGGCCCCAGTGCCAGGAGTCTGAGTCCTTCTCCCTCCACGCCGCCATGCCAGCGCTCCTGGTCGACACAAGCACGCGCCTGGCCTCATCCAGCGATGCCTCGACGCGCTCCCACCACTCGGCCAACCGCTCAAAGTCTCCTACCCCAGACCGCCCGCCCGTGTCGCCTCTCACGCCCACGGCCACTGTTGCCCAGCTAGCTCCGGTGGAGCGCAGCGAACCTCGACCCCGCCCTGCCCCTCCGCCCACGGCCACCTTCACACCACAGCCGCCCTCGGTCGCCATCTCAGAGACGGACAACCCCGATGCCATTGCCTTGCGCTCCGCTATATCGCTCCTGCAGTTGCAGCGCGAGAAGAGCAAGCGCGACCTCAAGGCCCTCGAGGACCTCAAGGCCGCCGCCATAGCCGACCCGCAAGCCTTTGCCCGCTCGCTCCATGAACAGCGAGCACAGCAGTCGCACTCGTATCAAGACATGCTCACGCCCACTCTATCTGGCCTCGGCCATGACCAAGACGCCAGCGATCCAGACGCTCGCAAGGACTCGACGCGCAAGGACACAGAGTCCAGTGCCCAAAGGTTCCCTCCCATCCCACAGCCGCAAAACGTTGTGCGATGTCCCCCCATCAACTGGGACAAGTACCACATCGTGGGCGAACCGCTTGACAAGATGCACCAAGAGCAAAAGAGGTGGCCGGGTTCGGCAGAGCCTCCACGCACAAAGGCGGGACACCGCGCACCGCCCCATTCAGTAGCGGCGCCATACTCGCCATTTACAGACGGAATCAGCGCCCGCGCATCTTCATCGTCGTCAGCAACACCCCCACAACCACCAAAACACCCAAAAAAGTCTCCCTCGTAAGACGCGGCTACTGCTGAGCCGGCGGTCCCTGATTCCACCCCCAACCGCCATGCGCGGTACACAGTTCCTTAACCCTGATTCCACATTTGGCATCATTACACTTCAAAATGAACAACAACTTGGGAGTACGGGTTGCTCCACTCACGAAAACAACGACATGGATGTTTGGCACGATAAACGATGCCCCACAAATAGCACATACTTGGGGCCAAGGAGCAATAGACTCAAATAGCAAAACCCATAGACGAAATACTAGTCTGCAAAAAGATTTCACCTGGTGCTGCGCAACTAACACGTGCTTCGCGTTCCATCTGGGTAATGCTCGTGGCGCTGCAGACTGGCCGACTCGCAGGTGCACATAGGCATACGTACGCACCAGAGCGGCTGTGCAGCCCACCTCCACGTGGCGCATTTGTTGCCGCTACAAGACTTGCCCACACCGGTGTGGTACCGCGGTGAGGGTTGTTTTTTTTCTCTCGCTCCTTTGTCGCCCAACCGTTCGATTTGCACCTTGTTCTGTCAGTCATTCCTGCTTCCCACCCCTGCTTGACAGCCTCGCTTAGCGGTACTGTCTACGTCATCCGTGCAGGGCCGCAACAACAATCGCCCAGCACCACGTCAACGTCGTGTCGGTGTGCTAAAAACAGCCAGATCCATCGCCCAAGACGTTGATCTTGAGGCTGAGCCGCTATTTGACTGGCTGGCTGCTCGGCTGCTTCCACGATGAGACCCTGCGCCAGTGACGTGCGGGTCCCAGACTCATTGCCGTCGCATTCCAGGCTTTGGGTTGGGATACCGCCTATAAGTGCACTTTGTGTCTTTCGCCGCTGTTTGTGGTCAACAAAGACCTCCAATCGCTCTCACCCGCGTGTCCTCACGCAGCCCTTGTCCACGTACTCTTTCAACGCTGTCGCTCACTAGCACTAATTGTCACTGCAATACACCAACAAGCAACTCGCAACAATGCGGTTTCTCGCTCTTCTACCCGTCTTATGCTGTACTGCAGCCCTGATTCTCTCGTTCCTCTGCCTATTTGCAGGCCATAAGAAGGGTTTCATGGAAGACTACTCGCTCCTCACACTCAACACCTCAGCCATTGGACAAAATCTCGTCGACAGAGTCTCAAACTCTGACTCCACTATATCTAACATCATCAATCTCATTCCAGACTCTATCACCGATACAGTCACCGATGAAATCAATGAGAGGATAGACGAGTTCCGCGAGCGCGCTGGCATCGAGGACTGGTACTCAGCACACATGCTGAACTATTGCGAGGGGCAGTACACACCCGACGAGGCGGCTAATGCGACCCTGAAGCAAGATGACATTAGCAAAAACGTTACTGAATGCTCCAAGAACAGGGCCATGTACAAGTTCGATCCAACCGACATCATCCAGAGGGCCCTAAACAAGTCGGGCATAGACATCACCCTGCAGGATCTACAATGGCCAGAAGATATCCAGGACGGCATCGATGCGTTGAATGCTATCATGGCAGCCATGTTCGTTCTCTACGTCATCGCAATCTGCCTCATCTTCTTGACCCTCGTCACCAGCCTTGTTGGCATCCTCACCTCAGGAAGACTGAGCGCATGCCTAAACATTGGCCTTAGTCTCCTCGCATTTTTAGCCATTGGCATCGCTAGCGGGCTCGTCACCGCCGTCATGGTCAAGGGTACCGACGTCATTAACGAACACGGAAATCAAATCGGCCTTGAATCGCACTATGGTGGCAAGTTCCTCGCCTTGACATGGGCTGCAACTGGGCTCATGCTCCTTGCTGTCCTTGCTTGGTTCATAGCCCTATGCTTTGGCCGGAGCGAGCGCCGTTCGCGCAGCCCCAAGAAGTCGGCCATCTAGGAGTATCCACCTGACAAAAACACCGCAACGCCCAAAGAGCCTGCTGGATAAAACAAATGCCTGGATTTGAAGGATCAAATTGAACGCGTGTACGGATACCAAGATATGCGAATATGTATTACGATCGCCTGGATGAGCTGTAACATCTTTCTTTTGTTTGTTCATTTTGTTTGTTATATACCCACCCCCTGATATCAGATTGCATCAAAAACGATTAGGTGGAGATTTAAGTAGAATTTGATGTATTGAACCCTATTCCCGTACCATGAGTGATCCAGAACATGAGATGAGCATAGAGACATGGGGAAATACTGAAGGCAAAGATAGGAAACGAAGCATATAAAGAGAAGTAAATTTCGTCGATATTAGTCAAGTTATCCTGAACAGATACTATCCGTGCCAAGGCTTAGCTTAGTAATAAGCTAAGTCAGCTGCGCTGACACTCGCCGCAGGCGAGTGCCGACGCTCCCAACGATATTACCGTCCCAACGATATTTTTTCGTATAACCCAGATATATTACTATGTAACTACTCAACCACGCCAGTTACTGTACTGATTTTCATACGCCAGTAATCCAGCACTACGCATTAACGCCTATACACGCTGTAATTGTTCGTGTATTAGTTTGTAAGCTTAGAAATGCTGCTTCTTTTTTATGATTAGCATGCCCTTTATCTTTAAATATTCAAACTTAAGCTGGCTCAACTCAGCTGTAAGCTTATTTTGAACCATCTTTTATGCCGAATAGGAGTAAATAACTCCTATTAAAGATTTAAGAATCATACGGGTGCGCTATTGCCGTAATCGCTGTAATTATACGACTGAAGTTATAGTGCGTAGTTTGCTAATCGCTTAGTCTCCAGCAACAGATATATTATACGCTCTAAACAGCGTACGTTTTACGTTTTCGCTAAGCTCCTTATTCTCTAAACAGAATTCAATATTGCGCTTAAGCGTCCGGATTGTTTAAGGCGTGTTTAGCTCTAGTGGTGGTGGTGTTCTATCTGTAGTAGCGTTGCTACTACTATCACTACTATTACTGCTAGCATCTTAGTAATTAGCGTCCTAATCAGCAAAATCTCTCTGTATATTATTCTTAACGCGCTTAATATCCAATAGATATAATCCTGAGTCCCGCCAGCCTTTTTATATCGTATAGGGCTTAAATATATAGGCGCAGATTGACTTAATAGCAGCTAAGAACTTAACCTTATTAAAAGCTGTACAGCCTGTTTAGATTGCATAATTAATAGCCTGCGCGTGCTAGTGTGTTACACGGGGTAAGGGTCTATACTTCTCTATCCTGGTCCGCACTAAGGCAGGTGAGTATTACGTTAGTGTTCCGTGAGGCTTGTCTGGCGATGTAGTGGAGTTAGCGTGCTTAAGGAGGGTTTGACAAGACTAATCTATTTAATAGACTAACTTGTGACAATCTTGTTAAGTAAAGATACTAGTAAGAAAGTACAATTTGAGTTGACCACAACGAGAGTAAATAATAAAATCCATCCATTCTTATATCCTCATTGCTTCCTGTCCTGTCCTCCCGACATCCCATCTTGGCGGGAGGTTTAGGAGGACGTTGGCTTCCCTTTATGCGGTGGCCTCCCGGAGGCCATGCCTTAGCGGGATGCTAAGTCACGTGATTGACGCCCCGCGTTAATCATTACCTTCTGACGTGGACGTCCTTAGGCCTTCGCCATCTCGTCATTTGTCAAGGAGAGAGTCTTTCTTATTACTTATAACATTACCTCCCCTCTTAGGGCTATCGTCTCGATACCCTAGAATATTGTTTTCCCGTGCCGCGTGTTGAGACGCCGGCTGCATATAAGGTCAGAGCCCGCCCACTCGTTGTAGCCATCTCTGCCTCGTAGCCTTCCTAACCATACCTAAAGTCCAGTCTTCCTATCGCGTTCGTCCTAAGAACTCAACTCAACAGCGCCAGGCTCGTGCTAACCGTATTCGATTACAGGGGAACGAAATGACCTTTCGTTATAAACGTTGTAAAGAGAAGAGCCTTTGTTATTTCGTGGACACCGCTATAGGGCGTTATACCGGTTATATTTCTATAAAAGCTGAATATAGCTTATTCATAACCAAGGAGGAGTGGGAAAAGGTAGAAGCAGACAAGCGTTAAAAACGGTTAGCTCTTCTACGGGCTGAGGCCGAAGTTACGCGTCTTCGTCTAGAGGTTACTAAGACTAAGGCTCTTAAGCGGTCGTACGCCGATCGTGATCATACTATCTTAAGTCTACAGGATCGTGCGAAGGAGCAGGCCGAGGGGAGCTCAGCCCCTAGCGGTACGGGCCTTCCTATTATCGAACCACCGCTATCTAAGTTATCGACTAATCTAGGCTAGTTACAGGCTAATTCCTTTAATCCTTCTTTTAATTACTCCTTCCTTTTCAAGGGGCTTCCCCTCGCTTCTCCGGGTGCCTCCGGTAGTATTCACGTACTAGTAACTTACAGTTCGTTAAGTTTCCTTCAAGTTCCTAAGTATTATAGCTTTTGGGCCATCCTTACTACTTAACTAAGTACTTCTACTAACTATCAATTTTTCGTAGGTCCTTAATTTCCTCAACCTCGTACTCATCGTCTTCGAGCTCTATATCCGTTGCTAGCTTAGCATCTAGAGGTGCTAGTTCTAGAAGTTTCTTGTAAAAGACAGAGTGGATTCGTATACCTTATAGGAGTTTTAACTTATAGTTTACTTTTCCTATTTCCTCTAGAATTTTAAATAGTCCTATTCAGAGGTTATTTAATTTTCTACATAGTCGTTTAGTTTTTAGGTTTTATCTTAACAGGAAAACTTTGTCCCCCTTCTTAAAGGTTAGTCCCTCAATCCTTAGTTTATTCGCTGCTTTAGATGTCGTAAGGTTTCGTTAAGCTATATTCTTACTCAATTCTTCGTGCAATTCTCGTATAAGCTTCGCCTTATCGTCTACTCCTATCGCGATACTTGTAACGGTTCGAGTACACACTGAACTAACATCCGAAAGGGATCCGAACATGGGCACGCACTAGCCGAGGGCAGATCTGCTGATATAAAACCCCACCTTCTCCATACCGTAGCTCGATAGATTTTTGATATCCTTTCGTACAAGGCCTATAGGTGTCTATTCGAATTAAGGCTCGTTTGATGTCCCACGCACTCCCATATGCCTCTGAGTGACACTACCGCCGATACTGATCCGAGTAGTCTTGCCTGCGCCGTTACATTATATCAAAAATCTCACCACCGCCGGTGACGGCATTCAAACAATATCGCAGCTGTCTGTTCAGACTACATCCAAAACCAAGTGTTTCCGGAGTTGATCCGGAACCTTACACCGTTACATCTAACATTCACATAGACAGGATCCCATTGATCTCCTGTCGACCGAAGCCTTTGGGTTTGGAATTTCTGTACTCACGCGAGTCGGATTAACTTCGGAAAAGCCGCGTAGAGTGCGCCAAGGTAGAGACACGGAGACTACTCAAGAACCCATCAACCTAGGAATCAATCGCCATGGTTGACCGAATCCACCACCGATTCTG